GTAAAAACCTCCTGAACAATAAACACTGAAGGAAAACTAACCAGGAGACGCTGCTTCCAATGGCGGCACTGATGGTCAAGACAACTCCCGTGATTCCACGCTACTTCACAATGTCATCAGAGTTCATCTTATGTTTTGTTTTGATGTGAAAGACCCTCTAGTGGCAGCAATTACATATTGTATGTTTAATCACTTTTAACTGTCTTCTGACTGACCTTTGACCTCTTGATATCCAACACGGCCTCCAGGAAGTCAATTTCTTCAAACTTCCTCACCATGGGCTCCAGCTCAATCAAACACTCTGAAATGGCAGTAAACACATCACACCTTAACGGTATATCACACTGTGAAATCAACTAACAATAAAGGACAAAAACAGCTTTAACTGGTGTCACTTTTTTGTGATTTGTTTGCCATAACTCCCTTAACTGGGGGTGAAGTCATTGGTGACTCAAGTTGAGTTTTATGGTTTCAGCACATTTACTGCAAGAAAATGATGACAATGATGATCAAGCCTTTCATTCTTTCCGTCACGTATGCTGCAGTATGTAATGTAACTGTGATGCAGTGACTCTGCATATTGTGTGTGTAAGAGAGAGAGAGTGAAAATGAAAGAAAGAAGATAAAGTGCACTCTTTTTTGTCTTGTAATTGACAAAGATTATTGTCTTGATGTGTGGTAATCTAAGTAAGTAAGTAGGTACTGTCCATGATTTGGAAATGAGATGAAACATTTCTATAAATGTCTGAATGAAATGACTGAATGGAAAACAACACCACATTCATGAATCTGCTCTATCTTCTGAATTTCAAAGAGTGGCTTTGATTTGATCAGTTTTGGTTATAAAGAGTAGTTAAAGTGAGTATTTTGATTGTGAATTTGTATTATACTTATACACATACATATACTTGTCTTAACCACATTTTTATCATGTTATCAAAGCTTAAAATACCAAGTTTTTGTCAGGTTTTCAGCTTTACCATTTGCTGTCCTGAAGTTAATGATCCATGAACAGGTTTCATTGTTTACAAAAAGAGTTCAGCGATATAACAGGAAGCTGATACTTTGTCCCTCAAATTTGCCTACTACTCAAGATGAAGAATGATGTGATCCCGAACTGAGACAAAGGTCAAACCGATTCAGTCATCATTTGAGAGGGTGGAATCTGTAATCCTCTGCCAGAAATGAATTCCTGTGTGAGCTTACTGAGAAAGGAAGGGCGTTCATCAGGGTTAGAGGTCCAGCCGCAGGTCATTAAACCAATGAGGGTTTCTCTGCTGGGGATGTCAGCGGGCAGACTGTCCAGACTCGTATCAGGACGCATCCCACGTAGCACACTAAACATGATCTGCATGGGGTTGGTCACCTCTGACCACACAAACACACACATAAATCAGTGGTTAGTCTGGTATCACCACGAAAGCTCAAACTCCAACTGAACAGAAGTGTGACAAATCAAGTGTGATATAATAAAAAATTTTACCTTCAAACGGAATTTGCCTGGACAGCACTTCCCACATAATGATGGCATAGCTACAATATAAACACCATGCAGAGAATCAGTTAAGGGAAATAAGAGTTACATCATTCTGTTGGACTGGTATTCCCCTCCTGAGCCGAGGGACTTTACAACCAGCTAACCAGAGCGGCTGCTTTGAGGAAGAGCCTAAGAGACTGCATCAGCCACAATCCACAAAAGATTCACATTAAGCCACAAAGGAAAGTGGATTCATCAGACGTTTTTTTAAACTTATTTTGTAATAGTCACCACTCCCTCTCTCTGACAGATTCCTGGAATCGGACCATTTTCCTGGCACGATCAACAGTTTTGGTATGCTAACAATCCAACCCGATGCTGGCACATTGTCTCACCTTGTCAGTCAGGAAAACCTCGTGCTGATATCAAATATAGGGCAAATATTTACTCTCAAATACTGAAAACATTATCAGAGTAAATATTTACTCTATTACAGTAAACATTATCAGAGTAAATACTTTACTCTATTACAGTACATTATCAGAGTAAATATTTACTCATTAAGTAAACATTATCAGAGTAATATTTACTCTTACAGTAAACATTACAGAGTAAATTTTAACTCTATTAACAGTTAAACATTATCAGAGTAAGATATTACTCTATTACGTTAACATTATCAGAGTAAATATTTAATCTGTTAGTTTTTAAATAGTGCAAAAGTCATCAAGAGTTTATCCATTCACAAATTCTGCACAATAATCTGACCACTGAGCGACTGAACATCATGTACTTAAAACATATTTAGATGAAACTGTAGGGTAATTACAGTTCACTAAAATGTCTGAATGACTGTGAGTCAATCTGTTTTCAACACCCCACATATTATAGTTTAAAAAGAACTAATAAAAACTAAACTAAAACTAAACATTTTTAAATAAGAAAAAACAAAATGATACAAACAAACCCACTCTGGAAACTAAACTAAATTGAAAACAATGAAAAATACTAAACTGTAATAACTCTGAACTCGTGTTAAGGATAATAATTATTTCTAATTACTAGTTATTGGGTCTCACCTGTACATATCGTGTTTCACATCGGCCCGGCGGCTCTTGGATGGTTCGTACCTCTCAGGGGGCATGTAGATCACTGTGCCCCCCATTTCTGTGGGCTTGGACCCTGAGCCTTTACTGACGGATAGCTGCCGCCACTTTGAGAGGCCGAAGTCTGCAATCTGAAAAGGTTTTTAAAGTTGAAGTTTAAGTTTTTTACATGACAGCTGAGCTCCGAAAACTTCAGCTATTGTCCTGTTTCTGGTTAATAAGGACTCACTCACTTTCTTTTTTTTTTTTTTTTAAAGCTGCACTTTTTCTACAAGGTAAAGGGTAGACTAGTTAGGGCCCCAACTAACAATTATTTTCATTATCGATTGCTGATTATCTTCTCGATTAATAATTTTGTTTAAAATTTGTTCTTATTTTAACAGACCAACAGTACAAATCCCAGAGATATTCAGTTTACTGCCATATATGACAAAGTAAAGAAGCAAATCCTTGCATTTGAGAACCTTAAACCAGAGAATTTATGGCATTTTACTTGAACAATGACTGAAAAGACCATCAAAATAGTTCATTAATTAATTAGCTGATTTATTTTCTGTCCAATAATTGTTTCAGCTCTCACAGTAAAGTATGGTTTCTGATGGTCAACATGGAAATTCACTGAACATGTGAGATAATACGTTACCATACACACACACACACACACACACACACACACAGACACACACACACACTATTACACACTGTAATAATGAAAGTAACATGAGTAGACAACCGCACTCACACATTTGTTTTCACATTCACGTACAGTTCATCCGGTAACAATTTCTTACCAGCACACATACCTTCACATGAAATTCCCCGTCCAACAGTATGTTCTGTGTCTTTAAGTCATGATGTAGAAGGGGTGGGTTCATGTTGTGAAGGAAGTTGACCCCCAGGGCAATCTCATACAGAATCCTGAGTCGCAAAGGCCAGGCAAGCCCAGGGTACATGTCCTTCTGTAGGCAGAGACAACAGACAGGGGAAGAAATATCAATAAAAGTGTCAATAAAAGTGTCAATAGAACATGTGTTTAAAAAGTGCAGAGAGAAGGGATGTGTTCAGCTTTATTTAGACTATAAACCAAAGCTATGCAAGAGCATAAAATGATAAAGGGTTAGAAATTTTACAACCCCAATACAAGTAGGAATTTCCCTTAACTATATTTGTCTGCTTTCTTAATGGCTAGGCTTCTGTTGCCCTGCTTGTTTCAAAGTGTCATCATGTCCAAGTTTCAGTTTTGCCGTCTTACAGGCAGGAATTCAATGGCATAGAGGCACATGATGAGTGATTCATAAAGGAGACAGAGCTAGATATGGAGCAACTTGCCAAAAAGAACAAAGACTCTTTCACGCAAGCCATTTTGGCAAGAAAAGTGGAAAAACAAGAACTACAGAGGGTTTAAGGTGTTCTCAATATATCTGTGACTGTGTTACTGGATAACACATACAACTTTATGTTATGTGGTTCAATAGTGAGTAAGTCAAATCAAACCACTTCTCTCCATTTAGTTACATATTAGACAATAAAGCCTTGCCTCATAGCTAAGGAAAGCTGCTGTCTTTTTAAATCCTAATCCGTTTAATTCCTTAAGACTGAGCCTTGGATTATTATGTGAGGACTAGAATGAACAGCTCTTGGTGTTATAATGATGGATGACACTGAACTACCTCGTGGAGCAACAGGTCCAGAGAGCCATTGCTCATAAACTCTGTGACTATGCAGAAGAACTCGGGCTCGTTGCAGATGCCAAAGATCTGGATGATGTAGTTGAACCTGGCCTTGTGGAGCACCTCTGCCTCCTTCAGCAGGCAGTTCCTCTCTCTGAAACACAGCCGGTGATCAGTCAGTCTTTACTCTCAGACGGTGACAGAAAATCCAAAACAGTGATGACATCTGAAGTGTTAGAGGGAGCATGACACAGGGATGAATCTCTGAAGGTGACTGCTATGTGGGCTAGGTGATTTGGTTAAAATCATTACCAGAATATTAATCTGGATATTAACTTACTTAACTAGTGAAACTATCAAACTGATGCTTAAAGCAGTGACCTGTGACCCACTGTTATGTTTTAGGTAAGGCCAACAACGTCTTTATATGTGCTGAACAAATACATCAAAGTTATTGTCCATCCTAAATTGTCACTGCATCATTACACAGGGGAGTAAAGGGTCGCTGTACACAAAATACGTAAGAGTCACTACACGTCAGACGCCATGCCAGTAAAGGCGTATTCAATTGAACTGAGCTGAATGAAGCAACCTGGCAGCTGGTTCAAAGAGAAAGTAATGATGCAACAACAACAACAACAACAACAACAACAGGGCCTATTAAAGCCTGAGGGATTAATGAGCCAAGCCAATATACCAGCTGATATTAGCCAATATATCAATATCGGAATATATGTGGGAAGATATGTGTAAGATAACTTAGCAACAGTGTTTTCAGTCACATAGTTGCCAACAATAGAGCACTGACATGAGGACTTTAACCACGAAACATCCTGTTCATTAAATAGCTGCCATTATTCTGTATCAACCACATGTAATCAATCATTATCAAAACATATTGTTATGTTTTTAAAAAAAGGGGAATATAAGCTTTGAACACTCAAATATAAATAACTGCCTGAAAACTACAGCAGCTGTTTGTCCCTTGTTGTTGTACAGGGAGCTCTGTGAGACCAGAGATACACTTTCTCTCCTTACACAACACACAGTGAAGTAAGATCAAATCATATAGAAATGTCATCCAGACACACACATAGACAGAGCAATGAAACAATGAAACAATGAAACAACACCTGCAACACTATGAAAACATCTGATTCACGTGACTTCCACCTCAACCAGTTGTCATTTTCATCATTACATTTTCTGTAACCCCTCACTGGAACAACACAAGGAAAAGTGCCTCTATCTTTACACTGACGGCAGTGTAAAAGTCTTCCAAACACTGTGCATGGCCTAAACTGTTGTTAAATGAGGCGACCACATCCACACGGGGTACCTTTCTCCAACAGGACAGTCGAGTTTCAGGCACTTGATGGCCACAGTGGTCCTCCAGTCGCAGTGCTGCGCCTTGAACACGGTGCCGAAGCCCCCCCTGCTCAGGTAGTACAGGTCTGTCAGCTTCTGGTAGGGGATCACCGGCAAGGTGCTGGTCAGACTGCCAATGTTCACACAGCCCATAGCCGCGGACGGCTCCATAGCAGGTAGTGAGCCTTTACCGGGAAGTCTCTGAGGATTTATCATCCACGAAGAGAGCCGCTGAAAGCAGAACTGCCCCTTTCTGGTAAACGCAATGAGGAAGAGCTCTCTCTTAAAGGCATGCCATAATGTCGCTGACTGCTAGCAGGCTAAGCTAACGTTAATGTAGCGGAGGGGGGGAGGAGGAGGAGGAGGAGGAGGAGGAGGACGACTGCTAAAAGACACCGATAAACGGTGCACCGGACGAAGACCTCCGTGCACCCGAACGACTAGAGTTTAACGGAACTTACGCGCGTTCATGTGCCCGTTTATTCACGATATGCTGCCAGGCTTCACGTACCCAGCTGTCACTGAGTCACAGAGTCACAGAGTCACAACAACAACAGCAGCGAGCTGCGGAGCTCCGTGTCTTTAGGGCAGGTGGGTTTGTTGTTGCTAATGACGACACGCTTCCGGGTTTTTTGCGAGATGCGTTCAAGGCCGTAGGTGGTTTGGCCGCAGACAGTTGAGCTCAACTTTATTTTATTGTGGGGCTGATTTTCCAAACAGACCAGTGAGCACATACAGAAGTTCCTGTTTCAGAGAGGACCTACAGACAGGGACAGGTCTAAATGTGATGATGGAGTATGTATAGGTCGTTTGAATAACTACGTTACGGCTTTAAAGTCACTTTTTTGTTTCAGTTTCATTTGAACAAAGCCGTCCTCTGAGCCTGAACTACACTGGTAATAACGGGGTTTTTTAAATGTTGGGCATTTCCCAAACGTGGGGTTTTCCCTCAGAGCTGTTGTTGATGCGATGTGTGAATACATCTAAAATTAAAAAAGTGTAAAAACTTCATGCTATTAAAGTTAAGCCTCACATCTCTACAAGCTACTTTAAGCAATAGTAAAAAAAATAAATAATAATAATACACCATACACAGATACAATTTATACAATATAGACCAGAAGCACACAATTATTATGAAATAGTCTATGCAAATAAGACAAAAATAATATAGATAGATAGAATAGAATGAAATATTTAAGTAAATCAGAAGTGCAGAAACTACCATTGGCTATAGTAAAACTATAAATCCTAAGAATGTCACACTTGTGGGGCAATATAATTTCATCATAGAAGAATAAACAATAAATAAATACCAAATACCATTAGGCTTATATTAAATATATACAGTGTTACTAAGAGCGATCCATACAGTGCCTATATACTGTTCTAATAACCTTATTCTTGCCTTCTTATTTCACTATTTACAATTGTATCATAAAAGGTCCAGATTTAATACATTTCCAATCAAAATATTATTACTATACATTTGTTCACTTTATGACGTTTCATTGTAGGTTTGTTGTTTGTGTTCTATCGAAACAGGAAGGGATCTCTTGGGGGATGGCCAACATACATTTATGACACACACTTAAGCACATGTTTGCAATGTCTCTTGTAATCTGAAACCCTTGTGAATCCGAGAGTGTCCACAAATCAGTTACCACCACGTTTTAACTGCTGCTTACGTGGATCTCACACAATGTGCCTTGTGTTTTTGATGATCCAGCAAGACTGTCAGCAAAACATCCCCTGCACAGCTCAGGCAAGGAACAAAAATTGCTGTTGTAAGTAGGTTACTACACTCTGTCTGTCTTTGTGTGTTGTATGAATTTACTCTTTCTGCTTGTTAACGGAACCAAAAGCTCACCAGGTCAGGACCACCACAGATGGCTGTCCCCTTTGTTCCAGTCCCAGTGAACTGGTCTGGAGCGTGCAGGTCTTGGACCAAGAGGGGGTCTCCAATACATACTGCTTCATCCATAAACTTTGAGCCCTCGCTTCCAGGAAGTATTTCCTCGGTGAGAGGAGTTGGACCACGGGGTGCTGCAGCTGGGGCTCTCACCCCAGATGACTCCTGGTGTAGATCCAGAGGAGACGTGTTGGATGGGTCCTCCACTCTGCTGGAGGGTGATGGGTGGGCAGAGAGGCCCATTACCCCGACACTGCTGGGCTTCGAGATCCTAGAGGAGAGGGCCAAGTTTACTGTAAGGAGTTAACAAGTCTTTGTGTTTTCAGATGGACACAAGATGAATGGATGTTTGTAGACGCATGGACTTTGATCCTTTGATCATGTGATCAGGATGGTGCCATGTCATATGGGCATCATATGACTCTTGTTTACATATAACTAGTGTGTGTGTGTGTGTGTGTGTGTGTGTGTGTGTGTGTGTGTATGTGAGCAAAATCAGTCACACATGTGAGCGTGTCCGAGTGTTTTGCAACAGAAGCTGCTCTTTAAACTCCCCATTTTCCAAAGATACTGACAATGTGCAGATGCTTTCTGATATTACAGCTTATTTGTGGTGCTTGTGTTGGCTTCTGCGTTGTAGGTTTATAAGATCCTGGTGACAGGGTGTCAAGGAGACAGCTGGGTGATCTTCAGAAGATACACTGACTTCTGCAAGCTCAGTGACAAGGTGAGAACCAAGTACGTTATGGTCTTCAGTTAACACCAGTAAAAAGTCGGTGTCATGGCGAATGGACAGAGGTTTGGGCAGTTTTTTCATGACAATCCTCTAATATTTCCTCATGTAAAACTTGAAATGATCATGAGAGGAAGAATCCTCACTTGTTTTGTTCTTTTCCATGTGAAGTTCAGAGCACAGGGTCCAAATTGTTGGACAGATGTTCAGGATTACACAGTTTGCTGCTTCCAAACATTGTATTTAGTCCAGCACACATTCATCTTTATTCCGCTTGTCTACACCTCACTGTGAGTGCTTTTGGCACCATGAACACTTTTGACTGTCCCTGATATTGTTGCCATGTTTCTTTTCTGTTTTCTAACCCTTTCCTTCATTGCTTTGCTGCAGCTTAAAGAGTTGTTTCCCAGTTTTAGCCTAGCCCTGCCTTCTAAGCGCTGGTTCAAAGACAACTATGATGAAGCGTTTCTAGAGGAGAGGCAGACTGGGCTGCAGACGTTCCTGCAGAACCTGACGTTACACAAAGACATCATCAGCAGGTGGGTGTTGTGGCCCTAACAAGTCTGATTCCTTCAGAGATCGCACTTAACCTTGTTTGATTTGGAGTTTATAATCTATTTTCTCCCCAGTGAAGCTGTCAAACACTTTCTGTCTTTGGTTGACCCGCCAGGTCCTTTTGACAGTCTGGAGGACAGTAGGGTGAGGTTTCTTTCTTCACAAAATATTGCCTCACTGGCTAAATGTGTTTGGTAATCCATTGGCTGTCGTTCTGAATTCAGGCTTTTTGTGAGACTCTGGAGGAGACTAACCATCGTCTTCAGAGGGAACTCTTGGAAAATCAGAGAGACGTTGACATGTTAAAGAAGACACTGGAGGAGAAGGAAAACCACATCAGACACCTGGTGAAGAAAGTCAAGTAAAGATGTGTCTTTTGCACAGAAATAATAGAGAAAATAATTTACTGTACTGTTCTATACATTTATACATGCATTGAAATGATTACCTCTTACACAGATCCCGGCCACTTTCTACTGAGAGCTTTGAGGATATTTTCCAGTTAACAGCTTTGATAACAACAGACACCAACACACACACAGAAGGAGAGACAGATGTGAACGGATCTGAGCAAAAACATACAGATGGAAATGAAGAGGCGGACGATGACAGAGGATTCTTAAATCAAACTATGAAACAACAAGGTAAACAACCCTCTAGTCCTCCCACATTCACTCTTTATTTTACTGCTCCAAGAACAAAAAGTTTCATCCCAAAGTTTCACATTTAAACTGCCAGCTGATGTTAACTAGAAAATGTAAAACATTCATTTATAAGACTGTGTGCTTTTTTGACTCTAGGGGACAAGGTCATGAGGCCTACTAGTGGTCATCAGTGAAACCGAAGCAGAAAATCCACAATGACACATTTTCAGTTTCTGCTCTGAAGCATCTGCAGACGCACAAGCTCAGGGTAGAAAAATGGACAGACCGACTTCTGTCTACTTCAATATCATTAATGAAATGTATTAGTTACACTACTAGTTACTGGGGAAAGTAATATTATTACTGTTATATTATGGTAAGTTACTGCCCAACACTGACCATAAATACCTCAAGATATCAAGCTTTGTCTGTATTTGTCTGTATTATGTTTCGTTGAAAAGGGAACAATCTGCTCCCCTCAAATGTAAATATTGAACCTTGTTATTCATAATGTACTGAGCTGATGTGATTTCTTGAGTTTTAAAGCAAACGATATTTATGACCAGAAGGTGGCAGTGTATTAACAATTTCCAAAGGCAAAGCTATTGCACCTGAAGCCGAGATTATGGGAACTAGATGTTCTGTTCTCAGGACATTTCTCTAAACCTTGAACACAGTGCTCCTTGATAATGGACTGAGATGATGTTTTTTCTCTCAAATGGGAATAAGAGCTTTACAAATCAACAATCAAATGTGTGTGAGTGTGTCAGAGCCCATCCAAGCGAAGCCTTATTCATAAAAGCCTCATTATCAGAGTGAAGAGCCATTTTGTTTCACTTCACTTATTCTATATAAATCGCTGAATAAATCACAGGCTTGGGCAGAGACTCAGACGTCTGGAAACAAGCTCCATTCATACTGCCACACTAAATGCATTTGTACATTTTATTTGTATTGTACAATGAAAGCATTCAATTTGAAGAAAACAATACTGAATGAGCATTGTAAATGTAAGAAAAAGTCTAAGGTTAACAGTGCTATAGTGACATGAAAAGTAATAAACAGCGGAAAGTAAAATAAGATTAAAAATAAATCAAATCAAATGCAAAGAAAAAAATAGAAAGGGATAAAAAAAAAATTTTTTTTTTTTGAAAGCTGTAATTGGCTGATAACTGAAGGATCTGCACTTATGGTACCTTACCAGTGACAAATGAACAGGAGACTAAAAGCAACTAATACATACATTGATATATTTCATAATATTACTACACAAGAGCAAACACACAATTATAGCACTAGTAAGAAGTGTTGACTGTATCAACCAAAAATGACCAAAATTGCTGTATTTGACAGAGACTTGAGTTGAAGCTGGTGACTTTAGACTCAACTTGACAATAGAAAACTTGACTTGAGCCTATTGACTTGGAATGACTCCACAAGGCCAAAGATTAAATATTATATTACTAAAAAATGTGTAGCGAATCACCTCTTCTTAGCAACTGGCAAGACTTTGAATAAATCTGACAGCAGCCAATCGTATTGCACAAGCAGGAAAATGTGCAGACCAGCAGACAGACAAAAATAACTACTTGTTTAAGACTTGAAATTCAAAGTTTCTGACTTGGACCTGACTTGTGACTTGCAAAACAATGTCAAGAAAAGATGAAGGTAAAGAAACCCCTAACAGCATAAAAAAACATGAGTAATTTTGTTAGAAGTATATATATAGTTGTTGTCTAGTGTTTGTCTATTATAAAACCTGTTAATATTTATAATTTGGTAGTGACAGTTTCTAATTGCAATGGTGGCACTACCTTTTTGTTAACATCTGGGTCACAGATGGTATTCTTTACTGGACTTAAATTATAACAAGGCTGCGGTATACAGTGATAGTAGTGACAATCTTGGAGGAGAACCAGTCTGCAGCAGAAGTGTGTCTGTGTGAACTGAATCCCAAACTCACTCAAGGTCCGGAACTCAGTTGTCTCACTGTTATTCATTAGTGCACAAGGGGAAAAAAACAGCGCTGAAGGATTCAACACCATTTTGTGGTTTTCCATCTTTAATCCTAGATCTCAATTTATTGTCTCCTACAGTTGTCTAAGAAATCAGCAATTTGGCACATATTCCACAGGAAAAACACCACCCCGGGGAGAAGAAACACTAACCATAAATACAAAGTCACTGGAGATGCAAGTACTTCAAGTACCCCCATAGATTACGGCCAAAAGTGTCAGGATCCAACGATCTATTAACAACTGTTTAACAGGATCCTCACAGATTACTCCACAGGGTTCCATCTATTAAGAGTACCTGAGATTTTGCAGCACATGCTATGCAAAAACAAGACTCTTTATCAATTCTAAATAATTGTGGGACAGCTCGGACCATTTGTTTTTAGTTTTGGGCCACATGCTCATCTTCGCCCCATGAAAGATTCATTCCTGTCAGCTCGGGTGTTATTGCTGTGTGGAAGGAGTTTTTAGCACAACAATTCCATCTTCGTGCAACATCCAGAACACAACTTGCAGATTGCCGAAGCATACAAATACCCCCACATCAACAAAGTCTTCACTCTTAATGGTGATAAGTGTGTCCGCTGAGGTACTGATGCACATGATTTTGGTTACGGGCGATGTTGTTGAGTGTGTGTTTGCACGGTTGAATAACCCAGTAGGCGTCCTTGGTCCACAGGTCAAAACTGACCTGTGGGCCCCTGCAGTGCACACAGCAGACTATACATGCCAGATTCATTATATTTTGTCTTGAGCCCCAGAAACATATGTATTCATTCTTCTGTGCTTCCCAGGGATTGCTATCTTTAAATCAGTTTATGTTATTGTGTTATTCATTTTATTAAACATATGTTTATATAGGGATATGTAAGCATGATACCGGCTGAAATAATATATTGGCCATCCCAGGGCCCCATGACTGTGTAAAATTCCTCCTTAATGTTCTTATCAGTTTACATTCTGCTTTACTGCATGGTCTCAAACTAATTGCAATAAATTAAAATACCACTAACTAATCATCACACGGTGAGCCTGGAGCTTTGGAGGTGGAGATGTGGGGCTCCGAGGCCGTTGTCCCTCTCTGCCAAGTTTAAGATCCAGCATTACAATTGTTTTCAAAACTATTCAGCATATTTGTCTTTTATTGCAGTTATGTTTAGTTAACATCTCTGCAACACCAACCGCAAAGTCACAAAGATATTTCACACTGGTCTGTAGTGTTAGGGCTTCATTTGAGAAAGAGAAAGAGGAAAACATGGCTCATAATTTTGTGGTTTGCCAACAATGTTGCTGAGTGAGCAATAAGACGATTTTAGAGACAACAGTAACTCATAACTCACTGGAAATATACAGCAGTGAGAACATAATTTGCTCATTAAAGGTGTTGATGGTGGGAATAAAACTGTTTCCTGTCATTGCATTTTTTCCTCAAATGAGATTGTTTTTTGTTTTATTTTTTGTTTTATTGCATATTCCAGAAACTCACTCACAAGACCAGTATGTGCTTAAGTCACTCTCCATTCCAGCTGGGTAGTTACGTCTCCAAAAGTCTACTGAGAGAAATCTTGTTATTGTATCATCGCTTTTCATAAAATCACAGGATGTAATGGACTCATGAGGGAGAAGAAGTTATATGGGATCATCACTGTTCAAACTATAAACATGAATCAGATTTTTTTATTTTAGACAAAGGGGACATAAAACTATTATTGGCCTTTCATTTATGTCTTCATACACACTATAAACCTGTTTACGGTTGGATAAGAAGCTGATGAAACCTGCCCTTGTACTGTATTTTTAGGGACATTTCCTCTTATTCCATGAGCCAGGCCACCTGTACCATCTGGGGGTAATTATTCTCATTGTTATTTTTGGAAAAGTATACATCTCCAGTGTTAGAAATATGTGGTAGCATTGCAGCAGTGATGGCTTTTAGTGTTTTATCACTCGATTTATACCCCATTTCAAAAAACACCTTTCAAAACAATATAGAACAGAATAATGCTAATTCACACTGGTTCAGACCACATGTTTCTCAAAAAAGTTGTTAAAATTAGCATCTGTTATCTATTACTGACAGTTTCTTCTACAACACCTAAAGAATAAATACCATGTTTATATACATAGTTTTTAAATTTATTGCAAAATGTAATAAACTAAATATGGTGTTAGGCTTAGTCCATGAATAGAGGAAGGGAAGGGAAGATTCTGTATGCAACTGTGAATGACAAATGTAACAGAATCACAGCTCTTCAAGTCAGCTCTTCAATGTCAGCAAGAAATGGCCGCTTACTTCCCCATGCTGCCCATGCCACCAGGATACTGCTCTGTAGTTATCTGCTCAGAAGACACAGACGTCTTGTCTTTGGAATTCTGTGGCAAGATTGAGGCCCCATTGTTTCAGAGGAGTGCCACTAGAACAGGAAGGTTGCTGCTACTGTTGGCCTAGAGGTTTGTTGGGTTGCATGCGCATACAGGACGTGATACTGTAAGCGCTTTTGCCTACAACGGGAAACTTAGGACACATTCTGAGTTGGGTCGGGAATGGGACGTCTCCACAGAACAAGAGGATCTACATTTCTCCTTAATGGGATATACAGTATCAACCACCAAGTTCAAAGCGCCTAAGTATCAACTTTTCTCTGCCCGAAAAGAAGAAATCGAAAGTCATCAACTCCCACCATGCAAGGACTGCTTCACAAAACATGCACAGCGAGCCAGCTACCAGGCTTGCATGGAGATGATGTTTGGAGAAGGACCCACAAGTGCTAAGCCATGTTGGCAGAGGATGAAAGATGGAGAGAGAGGAGGAAGCTGAACAGTTGGTGGTGCACTGGAAGGCCAGCCAGCACCCGATGCTGCTGTCCTGTCCAAAAAAATGTTCGCTCCCAAGATGTATGCGTGTTGCAAATTGCCTCAGGCGTACTCTTCATGTGTAACCAGGTATCCACCTTTCAAAAATAAACAACACAAATATTTTTCTAAAAATGAAATGATTCACTCTATTGAAACACTGCACTGCGAGAGCCACCAGTTACACAATTTTCAATGTAGAACTTTAAAACAACATTTGATAAACAAACTCAAAGGAGAAAAGCATCTGCACATTCAAATCTCTGCAAAAATCTTCGAAGATAATTCTATGGCTCCAGCATCTCAGTTAAGCTGTGTTTTTCTCTCAAAAAGAAGAAAGAAAAAGCTGGAACTCAGCTATTACTGTGACAAAACACAATAATGTTGAGGGATCACTGATGAAATAAATAACTCGAGGTTGAATGTATATGTTATACTGTATATTGGCCAGAAATGTTTACTTTAGTGAAGAGTTATAAAAAAAAGCTACCACTAGTGCAACACCATCACATATTTCCTAAATCTAGAGATAATACTAGGTTTTGACTTTGCTGAGGGTGGGAGTGAGCCAGGTGGTCAGAAAATAAACTGAGGGTCCCGGGATTTAGCCAGCGCCCACCAGAAGGAAGGAGATGGAGGCAACAAAT